CCCTGCATGGGCAGGGACACCTCCCACCAGACCAGGCTGCTCCAAGCCCCATCCAACCTGCCCTTCAACACTGCCAGGGATGGGGCAGCCACAGCTTCCCTGGGCAACCTGGGCCAGGCTCTCACCACCCTCACACTCCACAATTTCCTCCTCATGTCTCACCTCAATCTCCCCTCCTCCAGTTTTCATCCATTCCCCCTTGTCCTCTCCCTCCCTGCCCTTGTCCCAAGCCTCTCCCCAGCTTTCCTGGAGCCCCTTCAGGCCCTGGAAGGTGCTCTGAGGTCTCCCTGGAGCCTTCTTTTCTCCAGGCTGAACAACCCCAACCATTCATTTGATTTGTAGTCCCTCAGTTTTCATGATGATACTGGTGTTAAGGTGTATGAAAGAAGCTTTTTATACATTTTGTTCTCCTCCAGTGTGCTGGATGTTAAAAAGGAAGAGAAATACCTCTTGGCCCTAATGCTCAAATCACAGGAAAGCTCCTGTCTCATTCCTCATTTCATGTCCTGCTTCATGTTATAAACAATCATTACAAGTTGCACCTTGCTTGCCCACTGTATTTTTCCCCATCCTCTTAGACCGTAACTTCCATCCCCTCCCTCTAATTACTCCACCCTGGCTTAAGGTGAAAAGAATGGCCTTTGTTTGGCAAATAAAGGGTAGGCAGAGCTTTGAAGGAACACCTTGCTGTTATGGAGATTGAACCAACATTATGTGGTTGGCTCTTCTTGTTTCTGTTAAAGCCAAGGGTTCACTTACTTCCTTCATGGACAAGCAGGAGAGAAGGACTGTCCTACAAACTAGAATGTCTGTTCTTCTCCTGTGTAAAGGGGAGAAAAAGATACATAAATACTTCATTTTCAAGTTCCCAATGTGCTGTGAATAATACAATATAAAAGTGAGTGCGTACAATACACAAATAGTTTTATGGTGTCTTTAAAAAAAGTTTGAGACATATCAGCCTGTGAACAGGCTACATTGCCAGTTCATTTATATTTTTTCCTGTAAACAAATTTCTATATAGAGATTTTCAGACTTTCTGAATGAAAGAATTTGTAACCATAAAAATCCAGAGATTCCAGATGCACATTTTAATGCTCTCGGGGTTTGGTTTAAGTTGTTTTTCAGATGGATACATAACTTTAGCATTTTACAGTTTGAGGATGCATTAATAATTGTGTGTATAATTTTACATAAACAAATGTGCCCAGGGACTGAAAATGTAGCTTTCATTCCTGTTATTTGCATCTAATAAGGGTAATTCTGAAGACACTGAATAATCATTTAACTAAAGAGCCTTAAGTTCAAGAAGTTCATGACGGTGCAAGGTAACTGGATTGCTGTGGTGAACATTTTACATAGCTGAACTTTGGGAGACTTTTACAGATAGAGACTTAAAAATTACACCGTTGCACACCTGTGGTCTAAATTATTTCAGGTCTTCTGTGGATTTCTTGAACGTGTTAAAGGAGGTTTGCTAACTGAAAGTGTCATTGAGTCAAGAGTTTGGAATAGGAAGAAGTAGGTGATAGAGACTGCTCTCACTTCTGGCGATGGTGGTGGGTGCATGTGGGACTGCTTGGGATGTCTTTCTGTTTCACTCTGTGAAGACAAAATGGTTGAAAGCATGGTGCAAAGATGCTGCCCCCTTCAGAAACTGTCATGGCTCCAGCTTGTCTACATAAGCTGGTGTGAAAGCTGCAGAAGTACCTCCAAGCACTGGGACAAGGGCTGTCAAGTGAAGGCCTCAGCGATGTCATGTCTTGACAAGCACTTGAAAATGGAAGGAAACAGAGGCTGCTGGAGGAGTATGGAGAAAGAGAAAGCAGGTAACAAACATGAGCTATAATAGCAAGAGATGGTGACGGTTGTTCTGTGTTTC